AAAAGTTAAATAATCGGTAACTTTTAGTACAACATAAAGTCATGAAAAGCTTATAAATTTAGGCGCCAATTTGGTAAAATCGTAGTAGAAGTAGCAGAATCAAATCCAAATTGAATATTTGATAAAAAATAACAAACACGAGTACAGTCAATCAAAGCGTAAAAATAAAGTAATAACATTGATAAAAGGACTTAAAATATTGGAAACCTGCGTTTCTGTCTTAATGGATTACATATTGATTTATTACATACTCAATCCTCATAATCTGCAGATAGTGGATATTATATCACTGTAATTAATTACAACGCTCATTGATCACTTTGTAATTTGTAACCTATTTACCTCAATATTTTGTTTGTTAAGTTTTTATGAAGATTAATATTAAAAACACTACACAAAACTGTGACACTGTTTTAGGAATGACTGAATATTCGGTAAATCTACTTATTTATTTATTTATTTTAAAATCTTTATTGCACACATAAAAAACAGTGATACAACAGGCGAGCTTAATGCCATGTGGCATTCTCTTCCAGCTTACCAGAAAATTAGACAAAACAGAGAATTTAAGTAGGTAGCACTTACTCTACATTTAGGGTGATGTTTATATGTAGAGGTGACAGCACATCAAATACATTTTTTTGTTGCAAAGTAACCTACGTGTATTTCTATTGGGCGGGGTATACATCTTGTATAGATCGTGGAGCTGATATGGCCATTGGGGTAGAAAAGTTTTCGAGTAGCGACCACAAGCTAGACGACGTAGTGTGGGCAGGATCCTACTAGATGGACTGATAAACTGGTGATGGTCGCAAGAAGCACCTGGATGCGGATATAGCAGGATTGGTGTTTGTGGAAATCTTTGGGGAGACCTTTGTCCAGCAGTGGACGTCATTTGGCTGAAATGAACGTTAAAAAATCGTAGAAAGTAGTTGAATAAACCTTCTGTATCTAGAGAAATCAGAATAAATGATTTCAGGCTTAGGGCACCATAAAAAATCAATGTAGTGATGTCCCTACTTATTCTAAATTTGGGATTATAGATCATCCACAGACGCGCCTCACTAATTTTTAGTCGAGGGAAGAACGGTGTGCAGTTTTATCCAAGCAATCTGAGCGTCATTATTTAAGAGTGCGTGTGCACTCATGGATAATTTAGCGTGTACCGATAACACTCAAACATTAGCGGGAGAATGGCGGGGCGCGTCTTCGTGGATGAAACGATATAGTCGATAGATTTTTGTTTCAAATTAGCACCTATTGCAAGCACATAAGTGGCCATAGTGTAGCTTGAAGTGTTTTCTATGAGCAAATAAATTGAATTCCAGTGATGAATAACACCAGCACTTGATTTTTCCTGTCTTACAATCGTGTTATCGCCTCACTCATTGTTTGTACGTGACAGCTTGGAGTTAAGATTAGACAAATTCTTGTTCTCGTCTCACTTGAGTTAGATAAAAGGCTAGAATAAATCCGTTTTGTCTTAGAACTGTGGTGCAATGACAAATACTCGTAATATGTACGGATTCAATAAATAATGTTTTTTTGTTGTTGTACTCGTAATAGGTACGATTTTGTGACGGGAATGTACAATAGTTTGATAATGTGACAAAAAGAAGTAAAATTTTATGAATTATGACCAATCAGATATCTTTTAGTTTCGTATAGTTCAAACCCAATGAAAAATCTAGAATTTCTATTGTGGTTGATGGGTTAGCGTGTGTTGATTCCTGGTAATAAAACACGATTTTGGCTTATTGTGTACCTACTTATGAACATAATGAAATCCTGAGTGCCTATTTTGATTCTTCTCAAAGACATAGTCCGGCATAAAATAAAAGATCTTAGGTAGACTGTATAAAAGACTATTTTGTCCTACAAAGTTGCTACACTTACTATGCTATTTTAATGTATGAATCCGTAAGAAAGAGCGTTTCAATGATATCTCAACGTAATGCACGCGCGAGGTCAGTCCGGCTGTTTATCAAACAATCAACAAATTATCGCGACAGGCACAGATTTTGGTTATTTCATTTATTATCGTTATCAAATGATACCGATTTGCTGCACATAGTACGAGTGATCTGAGTTAGTTACTAGACTAGACTAAATACATATACGAAGATGTAAGCCACAAGGCTGGGTTGCACGGTCTTACTTCAAAATACTACAGTCAAATTAGTGGCTAAGTGAAATGTGTTTATGTGCCCTGTAAACTAACATTATACTCGTAGTGTAAGATAAGTAGTAATAAAAAAAATTGTGTGGGTCGTACTATTTAACCAACTTCATTTCAACAAGGTTTCAAAACGTCAAAATTGACGCTAACAACAATTATTGTTAGTTATCGAAAGTGTTATTTTTTATGTAATTAAAGCACAGCTATAGAGTTGTTTTGCAAAATTTTACATTAATTTTTACTTTCACTAATAGGTAGTAAGCTGTAACCAACCGTAAGAGTTTTGAATTAAAAAAACATTTATTTTTGAAAGTTGTTGTATTTGTTCATAAAAACGTTTGGACAGAACTAGTTTGTGTAGATTAGAATATAGAAGTGATAATCCAGTAAAGAATATTACATTGAATAAAACACGACTGCGTGATAAAATAATCGTAATCTTAACCGAGATAAATCCATGGTTCATATGGAAGTCTCAAGGTTGTACGCGATAGATTCACGATAGTTTTTATTATTTTACCGTTCGCTCATTGTCTAGTGGTTAGGTAATTGGTACTTTACCTTAGAAAGATGGGACATTAACTATGAGGTCTCACAGTGCTCGTGGACGCACAGCGTCACATACGAACCAATCAATCGATTCGCTGCTTCACTTAAGCAAGCATCGTTTGTGAATACGGGTGTTAGCATGATTGGTTAGTTAACACTCTACGTTTAGAATACTGGCACCTTAGGAAAATGGGACGACGAAATGGAAAAAAAATCTTCGCAGTGTCCTGCGATCGATTTGTCCGAATTTGGAATTTGAATTTCAAACACACACTTGTGTGTTCACATGACTGTCCAGTTTTGCGGGATTGCCGCGGGATAAGTCCTTATTCTCAATATTAAAAAATGAAAATCGACTTTATATGCAGGACAAGGCAGGTATTTGACCGCAATCGTACCTGGTGTTAAGTGGGATGCAGTCTAGGATGGTACACATCTGCTCTGTAAGTGCCTATTCACTCTCGCCTTGAAAAGGCCCTGATTATAGTAGGTATTCAGGAAAGACAGCATAAATTTTCGTGTAATAGGACCAATTGCACAACCATTGGTTAAACCGTCAATCAAACCCGCGTTTAAAAGAACAGATAAACACAGACGTGTTGTCAACATAGATAGAGTGACAGCGTTTTTCAATGTTAACATCTGATAGTTGGTCGGGAAGAAAAGATTCTTTTGATATTATTTCGGAGTCTTATCATGGATACACAAGTATAAGATACATTATCTAACTGTCATACAAAATCTCTTTATTTGTGAAATACTGAGCTCGGCAACTGGTGATTCAACGTGGTTCAGATATGAATAAAATCGTGGAAACGTTGTGGAGGCCACATAAAAAAGCTTAGTTAAACTTAACTATATCATTTTTCAATATACTCGTATTTGTATAGTTGATCCCAGGACCTGCTAGATATTATCAGATTGACAGAAAACTCATGAACCTAATGTCATTTCCATGTTTAGAAAAAAAAAACTAGGTGACTTTACACCCAAACGAAACAACTTCAAATATTTTCATTTAATAGTTAAATATCTTTAACTTTAACTTAATTACCTACTTTAGTTTAACTTACAGGGCAGATATGTACCATCTTAGACTGCATCTCACTTAACACCAGGTGCGATTGCGGTCAAAAACCTGACTTGTCTAGCATAAAAAAAATCTTATGTGCTTGAACATTATCATAATGTACATGAATGAAATGTACGCTATTTTTATTTTAGTACATTGGCAATTCTTTTACTAAGAAAATGCCTGAAAATGTTAATGTTCTATTAGTACGTCCGATTTAAAATCCGAACATTAAAAACAAAAGCCAGCTTAAGTAATCTGCACTAATTACCGTCTTCAACTCTAATTATACAATTAACACTGAAAATGTTCATTTGGTTCGCAGCTTACATCACTAGTGTCCTCTACGTTGACACTCGGTCAATTGTGAAGTTAATCGCCGGTTTAACTAACAAAGCTTTGTGTCGAATTTTCACTAATTACCAGAAACGGTGCGGAATAACTAACTATAGTTAAGTATGGTTAAGCAAACCGTCACGGCGCGGAAGGTCTTTGCGTTTCGTGTGGTTAACACTTGCTTCACTGAATGTCAATAATTGAGTCAAAGTCACTGTTTTTGTCACTTCATTAATATAATTTGTAACGCATATAGTGTAAAATTAACCCATGTTTAATCGTTTACAGTTATTTTACGTAAATGAGCCTTTAAAAAGCGCTTTTACAGGGACATTGAAAGCTTTCGCCTTACCGTGCTTCAGAGTATACAGTTTCACCAATTTAAGGTGAATTTGACAGCTTATTAAGTGACACTAGATGCTTAAAGTTCACCTGTTAATGACTGATGATGAATTATAAAATATTTAAAAAAATGCTGTTGTTTACACTTTAACCATTGTATTAAACTTTGGAGTCAACCTTTTTAACTGGCTTAAAACTTATCACATAAGATACTTAGCCATAAAAGCATGTTATTGATCTAAGAATAAGTAAAAATGTATGTTCACATCACTTAAAGCGAGACTACATAATGGTCTCGTCAAATATGCCTGAAATCTGCATTATAATTCACGACAAACATCACCAAGTTTTAAAAACTAAATCCCGCAAAAAATCCGCGTCCACCACAACATGACGTCACTTTCGATTTCTTAAAAACTTAATTGAAAACGTAAATCATTAAATAAAGGTCAAAAGAAAACTTGCAAGGAAAAGCCGATCCTTTCAGACAAACAAGTTATAATTAATATTCTCATTTGTCACCTGTAACGTCCTTCAGTAAACCGTTGATTCGTCACACGAATAAATCGAGTTAAAACATCGAATCGATCGAGTTGAGACGCGGTGAATGGCGAGCGACGTGGGCTCGCGTCAGAAAGCCGAATGACACTGAGTACTACGCCGGTGTTATCGTAAAAAACAAATAACAGACATGATAAGTAAAAACTGACGGACGGACGACATGATAGTACGGGCCTGGCGCTCGTCGCGGTCAGTCGCATCTTCGATCTTTTTTTTTCATAACGGTCAATATCAGTTATTAAGTTTGTTTTTGTTAATTTGTGTCTTGAAAATCTAAGGCTCAGTTGCACCACCTAACTTTAACCGTAACTATAACGATAACCGGTGTTTTTGTATGAATTTTGACAGATTTCTGACGTCTGTTAAAGTTAAAGAAAGATGGTGCAAACCAGCCATAATCTCTATGAACTCTATCTGCATTTTCGTGTAATCTTTTGACCAACCAGTTTTATTCTTTTCTTTTTCAGATACGTAAAAAAGAGACTTGTCACAATCGAAACTTTTTTAAAAACAAAAGCAAAACGTCAATTTCTAAATTTGAAAGTTCTAAAGCTGTTCTTTTCAGAGTGGAAAAAAGTTTGTAATTTTATCTGTAGTTTTTTTGTGATCCAGCCAGTATGTTTACAAAACATTAGAATACATGTTCTCTATTCAAATTAAAAGAAAAATAAAGTCTGTGAAATAGAAATTATGACCAAATTCATTGAGTATCATCAATGAATGATTGAATTGATTTTTTTTAGTTCAAATCCGCAATTTTAATTTATTAATATAATTTTATGTTTAAACATAGTAAATGCACTGCCAAGAATGCATTTTTATCTAAGATAAAAATAATTCGACACGTGCATGCAGATCATACGATTTTTACTGATAAACTAAACTATTGCGAAGTAAATTAATTATTTTGCTGTACCTAACATGGATGTAATACAATTCCATGAATTCACAAGGATTTATTCATCATTCACACACAGTTGCTATGTTACAGCCTACATAGGAGTACAGTAGGATCGCTCATGTTATAAATGTCAAGCTAAAAAATGTGGCATCTTATGTAATTCTAATAAGTGTTATTTTGGAATAAATATGTACCTATAGTCTGATGTGCTGTCTCTAACACACTTACAATATTATAGCCACAATAGCCGAACCCGAACGGTGAAGGGGTCGGAGTGGCCGACTCGAGATCCGAGGAACGCGGGTTCGAATCCCACCGCCGCTCGACTATTGTGGTGAGCCCACTCGTAACACAAGGGGCTAACGGGACTATTAGTAATTTGGGCAATACAAATTGCTAATAATCTTTAAAAAGAAAATGACTTCTGAACTGTATTTTGCTACAGTTTAAGAGGGTAATTGCGTATAAAATTCTAAAGAAAACGTCCTTTTGTACTTTCAGTAAATTGGTTGTTCGAATTTGAAGAAAAGGTACTTCATCGTTTCACAAATAAAATGCTACATGAAAAAGTAAGCTAAATGAAAAGTATTGTCAAGGAGTAAAAAAAATACTGTAAGGCTGAGTTTCACCTTTTTTTTTCGTCAGGAAAATACATTGATTTGTATACCCACCAGCCGCGGGGGCAGTTAGTGGGTTATGTGGGATTCTCCCTGCTAGAAGGGCAGGGCCTATCCACTAAAACCTGACGTTGCCCTCGGTAGCCATATGAGTCAGGAACGCGGGACATCACTATCGGCGTTTTGCCTCAAGCATTCGTCCGCGTTCCCTGCTCGGCATTGACTCGCTTAGTGCGCAGCCCCAACCAAGGAAGTCGTTATTACGCCTTCAACCTCCTGCGAGCAGCACGCAGGACACGTGCTGCGCCGTCGCGGCCTCTTTAGACGCCACCAGACACCCCCGTATCTGATGGCCGAGGCCTATTAGGAAGGGGCAGATGGAGGTCATAGAGCCTCCTTCTGTGCCCATGACGTCGGCGGCGGGCAATGGGTGCGTCGGGTGATGCTTCCCGCTCCCTCTCCGCCGCTTCCTGGGCTGAGTTTCACCTTACTTTAACCGTATTATCCGGTGTTTTTGTATGGAGTTTGACAAATTTTTGACGATTGTCAAAGTTAAAGTAAAATGGTGCAACCCTGCCTATTTATAGTGACATCTGTTCACAGTAGTCTGTATCAATGCTATAGACTTCTGTAGCCAATGGATCTACCGTATCTTCTTACTCTGTACCACTATCAAGAATAATTAAGCACAATAGTATTGCATTTAATGGGCGTCATGCTATTTATAGAAGTCACAAGAAGAAGCCGGTTTTTAATCTTTAAAAACATCAGGTATGAAATACTACACATTTTTTTTCTGCTCAATCCGAAGGTAAACTGGTCGAGAATGCTTTAGTGCATTAAGTTCGCCTTATGTTCAAATTTATTTGGCTTTATACAGTTGATATAAAAACAAACAAGATTACTAGCAAATGTTTCTAGGGAGTGAAAAATATACGGACATCCGGCCTCCCCAAGCCATAGTGACGAGTGTTTGACAAAGCCTCCCTGAGTTTGGTAGTTGGAGGTATGATAGCCAGTTCCCCTGTAGTTGAGGATACCAACCGTGCGATGTGGAAGTCATTGGGGGAGGCCTATGTTCAGCAGTGGACGTCCTATGGCTGAAATGATGATGACGATGATGAGGATTCCGAGCAAAGCTCGCCAACTTCGGCCTGATCATTACTTTTGATCAGATCCAATGCCAAGGCTAAGAGCTTCCACGTTTTGGTTATAAAATGCGTAATTCTAAAAAAAATTACCAACCGAATTGAGAAGCTCCTCCTTTTTAACGTCGGTAAAAAATAGATTTTGAATTTTAGGGAGACCTAATTGTTACATCTATTACTTAGGTTTGTTTTACCTGACATTCGAACCTGGGACTTTCAACACACGGTGATATCGAGGGCGAGAGATACAAGCGAGATTGCAGAATCATCAGTAAAAGTCAAATTTAATTATCGGAGGGTTTCGCCAGCTTTTATAAATGTTTAACGAAGATGGCACCGATTTTAAAACTTGATTTATTATAGCGAACGTAAAAAAATGTTTTGGCGTAATTTTGCAAAGTATTACCTTAAATACCCTATACACATCACGTTGTTTACAGCGGAGGTTGCTTATGATGGCATTAAAAAATATTTAGTGATTTTTACCCAATTGTTATTATACCCACGATAAAAGAATTGGTTCTACTACTTCTAATTCATATCTATGACTCAGTGTAGACTAATTTGTTGGTGACTATTGAGGAATTATTTAGGCGTAAATCAAACATGTTTACGTATGTCAATCGTTCGTCACAGTGTTTAGTTAAATGATTAAAAACTACCTACTTGTATTTCCAGTACGGTAAGTCCTCTAGCCAGGATAGCTTCACCGCCAATGCAACCAAGTTCGTTAAACTGTCATTTTGGACTTACAGCACAAGTTTGGTTAATAGTTAATCAATTATGTTGATTTCTATGATCAATTACAGAAGTAGGTACATACCCATTTTTAAGAACTAGGTACCTATACCATACTGGTGCTACTCATATTTATAAGTTAATCCTGAAAAGTATCCTTAATAATACCAGATCACTGAATCTTTAATGAGATTATAATTAGAAGAAATAAAATATATATATTTTTTTCTTTTGCATGCTCAAATTGTATTTTACGTCTGTCTACTTATCAACATTGACTGTAAAAACTAGCTTTAGAAACTTCAATTTGAAGCTACATGTAAAATAAGCTGTTTACTTCTTTAATAAAGATAAATAAAAAACCATCTTTTTCAGTTAACATTGATCAAATTTCAAAAATGAAATGAACACCACAATTAGCTGAAAATCCTTCCCCAGACAGAATATTCGTCCGTCATTAGTTAAACCACGAGACAATGGGAAGAAGTAACGTATTCCGATGAATATGTAGCTGTCGCGTCGAGCGTCGCGTGCGCAGGTTGTTATTGGGTCGCCCGCGCATTACCTGCACGATGGAGTATCACGATACGGGCAGATTTGAGATTTGTTTTCAGCAATGACACTGGTAAATATTGAACTATCAGGAGTGTTTTTTATGCATAACAAGGCAGGTATTTAACCACCTGATGTTAAGTGGGATGTAGTCTAGGATGGTACATATCTGCCCTGTAAGTGCCTATTCTGTCTTCGGGAAAGACAGCAGCAGGCAGCGAATTCCAGTCCCTAACTGTTCGCATTTTGAAAGAGTCATCGAAACGCTTAGTGCGAGCTGGTGGAATGTCAACAATATAGGGATGTTACGCTAATCTGCCGTCTCTGTGTGTGTTTTACAATACGAAGCTGAAAATTCGATTCAATGGATTTGGGTAGTTGAATTCCAATATTTCGACTATTGCAGACAGAATCTAAGACAGATTGAATCAAGATTATACGGGTCTTATTCTTCTTGTCGTGTCGACAACAAACCTACACAGTGTCAGCCCAAAACTCCGCCACAAGAGTGGCGTTGTTAGTAGCCTTCATTAAATCTTCCTGCGTGCAGTTGTTTGGGCACGCAGGGACGACATCATAAATGCTTTGTCAACTGGGGAACAAAACCTTATTTTCCACACCATTCTTCCTCTTCTTTTCCCCAGCCCTTTTTCCCATTATTTGGGGTCGGCTCTCCATGTTTTGAGGCGTCAGGACAGTTTGTACTGGGTTGTCAGTTGTCGGGTCTTATTTTCCAAATCATTATGATACTTTTTTCCTTTTGTATTGTTAAGTATACCTACAAACAATCCGTCACAACAAATTGTAGATGATGTGTCAAATCTGTAATGTGGAAAAGCAATAAACGATTAAATATTGAATTTGATTGATATACTGCTATAACAACCTTAGTCAGTGAAATTATCCTTGCTGCAAGGTTAGCTTATGCCGATTGTACTTGAAGAAAAAGAGCCAAATGTCCATCTTTTGCCTTGACCAACAAAGATTTGCAGAAAAGTAAAATAGCTAAAGAGGGCAATAGGCCGGCTCTACCATGGTATTGTCGCAAGCCTTAAATATTCATAGCTCCACGACAGACCACAAAGGCTTAATAAGCGTAGCAAACGACTGGGCACAGGG